GAAAGAGCCAAGAATCAGAGAAAATGACTTTTCCTCTTGGGCATACACCCCACAGGAGGGCCGAGGTTGGGTTCCCTTCTCTTCTCAGGGCCAGTCTCCTGTTGGCCCGAGAAGACCTCCTCTATCATCACATCTAGAGGGTCCCTCGGCCCAGGTGGTGGCCCCGACCTCACACAGATCTGGATGGTGTGCAGAGGTGGCTGGCGTTCACTCCTGTAACCCTTCCCCATCCCTGCAAATGCCCAGTACACTGGGAACACTGACCTTCAGTGGAGGTACATCAAGAGCTAGGAATGCAGCAATGGCAGAGCCATGGGCTCTCCCTTCACGAGTGAACAGCCCATTGAGTACTGGCTTGTGTTTAACCTCCTCTAAATAGAGGAATATGTTTCAGGAAGAAAGCACCAACACAGGCAGGTACCCAGGGGCATGCTGATGCAGCTAGAGGCATTTCAAAACACGTGATACACTAGCAGCATGGTTTGTTTTGAGTAGTATCAGTTATTCCCATTTTTAACCTGTGATCCAAATCACAAAGTATTTAATACATGGTAAAGAAGAGTGAAACTTATTGAAATGTAATCTTATTTTCCCAGGACATTCAACTCATGTTAAAACTGTGACATATTATTTGTAATATAAAGGTATGAACGAAACACATTCTGTGTTTTCCCCGCATTGGCTCAGTTAGCAGGGGGCCGGCAGATGCCACGGTGGTTAAGGTACTGGACTCCCACATGGCTGAAGGTGGTTCAAGTCCCGGACCTAGCAGTTTGCTTCCTTACTTTCCCTTTCTCTCTCTGGTCAAATTAAAATAACAAATGGAATTTTTAAAAAAAGCTTACCAGGTCATATATGACTCAGAAATTGTAGTCTTTGGTATATATGCCAAGGAACTGAAAGCAGGGTCTCACAGAGCTACCTGTACACAGGTAATGCTGTTCACAGCAGCATTATTCACAATACCCAAAGGTGGAAGCAACCCCAGAGTCTATTAACAAATATGTGGATAAACGAACTGTGTTATAATACAATGAAGTATTATCCAGCCTTAAAAAAGAAGAAATGCCACTTGCTACAATAAATGGAACTTGAGGACACTGTACTACGTAAAAATATGGCAGTCATAAAAGGACCAATACTATATGCTTCTACGTATACAAGGGATCCAGAGTAATCAAATCCATAGGGACAAAAAGCAGAATGGCGCATGTCAGGGGCTGGAGAGAGGGAACAGTGAGTCATGTGTAGCTGGTGATAGTTTCAGCTGGGAAAGATGGGGTGACGGTTGTGCAACGTGTGAGTGTGCTTAATGCCCTGAGTGCTTAAGTGTGGACTGCACACTTAAACGTGGTAAGGCTGGCACATTTCATCAGGCTAGAGAACTTTGGACATAACCATCAGCTGACTTTACCCCTCGGGAAAATGTCATGAGTGAGCTATCCCTGAACCCCGCCTGCTCTGTTCCTTATACCAAACGGACACCAAGAGATAAAGGAAACTTCTCTTCCTTTTACTTGACTCTTCATTCTTCTAGTCACCAGGACTTGAGTCCAGTGTGACCCTGGCCTCACCTCCTGCCTCTCTTTCACTCCACCTGGCTCCTGGGTGTGGCCCTTTCTCCCCAGACAGCTGCGGTCGCCTGACTGGTCTCTGCCTCGAGGGCCTCCCTCTGCATGCTACACACTGACAACAGATCCATCTTCCCATAGCACACCAATTGCTCTGTCCAAACCATCAGCTGCTCCCAGCTAAGTGAAATCCCAGCTCCTGCACTGGATGGTCAGGGCGGCCAGGATCCAGACTTACTACCTCTTCCTCTTACCACCCACGATCTGGCTCCCTGCCCTGGGTCAGGATTCGAATTCTGGCTCCAGCTAATGTCTGCTCAGTTTCCTCCCTAGATCGAGGGTTCTAATGACACATGGGTTTTGGAGGAGATGAAATGACACACTCAACGGCCACGGCAACACATCCCAGTGGTCGTCATCTACTGTTCTCAAACGTACTCTGCGTCTTGCTGACGTCAGACGCTCTACCTCAACTGTCAGAACCTCACCCCTCCCTCAGGTCTAGCTCTAAGTCTATGCTCTTTGGGAAGCCTCTTGCTCCTTTGAACACTATCCTTGAAGGCATTTGCCCCCACTGGCCTGAGAGCAGAGGTTGTCCTGTCTTACAACTCAAGACCACAAAGATCCTTGATGGCACAGCCATCTTGTCAACTTGGTAACAGGAGTAAAGTCAAGCACAGAGCCCAGTATACAACCTAGGTTAAAGCCCAGAACACCCGAGACAACCACCCAAATGAACAGGGGACCCACCCAGCAGGGGCCAAAGTGATGATGCACTCAGAAAATTATTTTAAAACTGAACTTCCCGAGTGTAAGTAACTTTGTTGCTGAGAATTATTATTATTATTATTTTCAAGCTGCCAGGTCCAGGACTCAAACTGCACTCTTTTTTTTTTTTTTTAAGAATTATTTATTTGGGACCAGCAGATGGCGTAATGGCTGGAATCCTGGACCCCCCTGTAGTTGACCACGGCCCGGTGGCTTAAACTCATGCTGGGCACGTGTGCATGCATGTCCAAGATCCCGAGAGGAGAATGGAGGAGAAGGGATTGCGGAGTGGCCCTCCCCCTGGGGGGTGGTGGTGATGATTTCTTGCTTTCTGTCTCTCTGCCTCTGTCTGTCTTTCTGGCGAGTGCACATGCCCTATAGGAAAAAAAAAAAAACTCTCCAAAAATAAGAATTATTTATTTATTTTAATTAATTATTTAATTTTAGTTTGACCAGAGAGGCACAGAGAGAGTGAGAGAGGGAAAGTGAGAAAGCAAGCTGCCAATTTGGGATTCGAACCGCTGTCGGCCAAGTGGGAGTGTCCAGCACCTTAACCACCACACCACCTGCTGGTTCCGCTGAGAATTATTCTTAAAAGGGAAGCTTGAAAAAGTAAGGTGGGTGGTTGCTAATGAAGCAGGGATTTCTATCTGTAAGATGAGCACAAGCCTCGGTCCCCTGGACCCCAGGAGGTACAAAGACACCACACACACAGAAGATACGAGGAGAGCATGTCCTAATGGGGCAGCTCTTTAGGAACTGGCAGCAGTGGTGACCAAATGCTACAGATAAAAAAGACAAGCATGATGCCGACACCACAAATGAACTGCAACTGTCTCAGCAATTGCGAGTTACAACTAAAACGGCAAAGGAGCTCGGCACAGATGTTTACAGAGCTTCCTTTGTTGCCTTCCTGGACTAGCTCATTTTCCCTAAGTTGAGGCCCATGAAACCCAAGGACTCGAAGGGAGTCACATCCTAGCAGGTTGATGACACTGAAGATAAGCCACCCAGCCAGTCTGCACAGAGCCTCTCCTCACTGACCTGGGCACCATGAGAGTATTCCAGTGATCAAACCCAATGCACGCCATTCCTGCGAAGCGCAGTCTTAATAGTTATGGTTTAAACTAGAAATCAAAGGGAGCAGCTGGAGTTAGAAACCCTGCTTCTTGGGAACCAGCAGTTAGCGTAATGGCTGTGTCGCTGGACTCCCACGTAGTCGACCGCGGTTCGCGTCCCGGACCCGGTGGCTTAAAACTCACGCCGGGCACGTGTGCGTGGTGCCCAAGATCCCGAGAGGAGAATGGAGGAGAAGGGAATGCGGCGTGACCATCCCCCCTGGGGGTTGATTTCTCGCTTTCTGTCTCTTTGTCTCTCTCTGTCTGTCTGGCGAGCGCACGCGCCCTATAGCAAAACCTCTCCAGAAAAAAAAAAAAAAGAAACCCTGCTTCTTTAACTCTGACCAGGAAGGGCGATTTATCTGACTTGATCGCAAATAGAAAGCCCTTCAAATGTAACTACTTTACCTTTTCAAATACATCACTTAGTAAAAGAGCTCCCACTTTGGGTTGCCTTTGTCTGCCACCCTTTTAAAAATATGGGTGAGGCTAAATTTAGATCCCTTCTCTCCCCTGAAGACAACTATGAACCCTCCTTCCTTTAATAGGGTTTCTGAGGTCTAGAATCCACCATTAAATCATTCAGCCTCTTCCCTGTGTGCATTTGTTGTTCAACCACAATAACCACAGGGGCCGGCAGAAAAGAGCAGGTGTATTGCTTTACTCCATCATTTCCTTACACTTTTCATATTAAATATCTGAAATATATTAATCTTAAAAAAACAATATTAACACAGTACTCAATGAATATAGGCAGTGGAGTAAACAACAAGTCCACGTTGCAAAATCGCAGGTTAGTTTAAAAACTGGGGTGTGTGCGCCGTCGCTTTCAGATGTTTCAGCTGCCTCCCTGACAGGAGCATGTGAAATTCTGCAGTGTGTCCAGCTGGGAAGGAAATGCAGCCATAAGAAAATACACGTGGCGACCGTCCTCAGAGGGTAATCATGGTATGGCAGACCTTCCGTTTTGTTTCAAAGTAACAGCACAAGCACATTTTTGGTGTTCAGGATTCTCCCCTAATGCTTTCAGTCTCTAAGGAGGTTTTCGGGCTTGGGGTAGCCAAAGAGAACAAAGTCGGCTTCATAGAGCTTGTAGAGCTGCTGCCTCCAGGCCAGGGGGATTTTGGCAAACCAGTCCTCCTCCCAGCTGCTGGCAGTTCTATTCCGGTAACTTGGGGGGAAGTGGAGGCTCTTGTCTACCTTGAGCAGCTGCAGGAGCTGGGCAGCATCCTCGTCCAGAGTCTCCAGCTTCCCCACAAAGTCGTAGTCTATCTGGCACGGGTGGCAGAGGCGGTACACCTGCCTCCAGTGCTCGTTGAAGGGCGCCAACTTCTCGGTGTGGGGGTCCAGCAGGTACTGGATGAAGTTGGCGAAGGACACCTTGAGGCCTGCACTGAAGGCCTCGCTGACCGAGGCAGGCAGGCTGGTGTGGTTGGCATAGAGCTTCAGCATGGGGATGGCGAACTTCCGGTAGAACTCCTCATTCTCCAGCTCAAACTTGCTGCGGAAGGCCGAGATGAGGCGCACAAAGGGGTCGCGCACGAAGAGGAACTTCGTGTACTTCTTCAACTTGATCTTCATGAGGTGGCGGGAGAACTTCCCATAGCGGCGCCAGAACTTGTTGAAGGTCAGGTGGGTGCTGGAGTTGTGCACGTGTTCACGGGGGATGTCCAGGGGGTCCCGGTATGGGGCACCACGGTCCAGGAGGCTCTCGCTCAAGACAATCATCACGCGCTTCCAGTTGGTGCAGGCCACCTTAGGTACGTAGCAGTAGATGACCCCGTGGCGGTCATCCACGATAAGGTGGTTTAGCTCATAGTTGGGGATGTCGTCAAAGGAGCGCTCCTTGGTGGGGAACGTGAGGCTGGCATTGGCACAGAAGTCTCGCAGCATGTTCCTCCTCTCGGCCTGCTGCCGGCCCTGGTCTGGGTTCTGCTGGGCATCGTGGGGGGACCAGTCATAGCCCCTCACACTCTCCTCCAGGTGGCTCAGTGCTGGCTTGCTGGAGGCCAGCAGAGGGGGCTGCTCTGTCTTTTTTCTGGAAAGGTTGTTCTGCTTCACGCCAGAACCAAGCAGCTTATCCAAAAACTCATCCACGTCCGACGTGAACTCTTTCTCTTCCCCCTGCCCAGTGGTGGGGAGGGGCTCCAGCGGGTGCGGCCTGGACAAGGAGGTGTGCAGGTAGAAGTGGGCGGTGCCCACGTTGTCCCAGTACACAATGATGAGCAGGATCATGAATATGGACCCCAGCACCAGCCACAGCCGGAAGAGCCGTGTCTTGGCCATCCTGGCCGGGGCCAGGGGCTGGGCCCCCTTTATCTGGATCCTCTCACTTCAGCTTCATGGGGAGACGGCACATCCTCCTCACAGGAACCTGTAGAGGAAATAACAGACCAAATTAAAGACTAAGATCCAGTCAGTGTTTCCTCCCTCCAACTGCTATTCTGTGGTCAGACGGGGACTCCACGGGCCTGGACGAGCAGTCCCTGCTGATGGCACGAGTCCCTGCTCTACTTCACCAGCAGCGTTCCACGCCAACCTCCACCTGCCACGTCGGCCTCCACTCTCAGGTGCCCATTATAGCTCCAACTGTGTGATGTGACTAAGGCCGCTCAGAAGGGCACCAAAGGATGAGTGTGACCAAGGAGGCAAGTGGAGACCCTTTCATCATCATGCTGGAAAGCGGGGACAGTCATTTAGGGAACATAGTCCCTTGTGAAGATGAGGTTCCCAGGAAGAAAAGAGGAGTGATGCGGAAAATACATTAAAAAAAAAAAACAAAAAAAAAACAGTAGCAAGGAGGATAAAGCTGAAGTTCATGAACATGCAGAGGACCCCCCCCGACCCCCAAAACCTTTTCCCTGTGTATACTTAGACCAAACAAATACATTAAGAGACAGATCCCTGCAACTGGCTGACAATACAATGTGTATGTGACTCAAGAAGGCGAAGAACTTGCCTCCCACTTTCCCTGCCTCCTTGACGTGGGAAGGGTAGGAGCAGGACCTGCAGCCCCAGGTCAGCAGAAAGGCAGTGGAAGTGCACATGCAAATGCATTCCAGGTTCCATGTGGTCCCTGAGGAACAGCCACAGTCCCTTCCCTGGAGATGGGAAATAGGTACTGCCAGCAACAGAAAGGGAACCAGGCGAGTAAAGGGGGAAAGGCTGCGTGCAATGGCCCTTACCTCTGGCATGTGGGCTCCATTCTACCAGCAGAGTAGGCTTAGCAGGCCCAGCTAGCTCACAGGGCCAGGGAGGGCAATTCCTGTGATTGATCCTCAGCTGATTTATAACTTTTTTTAAAAAAGAAATTTCCAATAACTTTATTCTTTACAAAATATATAAATAAATCAAATGATTCAACTTTTAAAATATTACCATGTGCAAGAAGGTAGAATGCTGATTTATAACTTCTAAGGAAGGCTGTTGACCAACAGCCTCTGTCAATACTAAAAGTGCCAGAGGTCCACATCTCTGGTCTAGTCCAGTTCTGAGCACCACTTCTGTCCCCGCTACTTTGATAAGCACTAGGGGCTCATTCAGGACAGGATACAATCTTTGGTCAATTATTTGGTCAATTATTTGGTAGTGGGTGCTGACTATGTTGTAGGTAACTCCAGGCTAAGAGTGCCGGCTCAAAGGTGAGGTGACGGGACTACCAGGTAGTATAGTGGTTAAGATGCTGGACGCCCATGTGGTTGACTGCAGTTCGAGTCCCAGACCCAGCAGTTTGAAACTTACACCAGGTGCAAGTGCATGTGTGCCCAAAATCTTGAGAGGAAGAAAGAGTAGGGACTGTGGCATGGCCATCCCCCAGGGAGGTGATTTCTCATTTTCTGTCTCTCTGGCAAGCACACATACCCTGTAGCAAAACTCTTTCTCTCTCTCTCTCAAAAAAACTCTTTCCTTCGCCCGCCCAAAAAAAAAAAAAAAAAAAAAGAAAGAAAAAGCGAGGAGACAATTTGGCACCTGTAGTGGTGTACTTGGTTATACTCCTGGCCCCACCAAGAGGGAGCAGCCCCATTCCTCCCAGTGTCCCCCAGCAACTCGAAAATTCTGGAAAAGGTTCTTCTACTTAGCACCAGAATCAAGGAAGGCTCTGGTCTTCCTGAAATTAAGTTCTCCATATACTTGTTTTGTTTTTTGCTACAGAGCATGTTCGCTTGCCAGAGAGAGAAGAATGAGAAATCATCCCCCAAATGGGGTGGCCATGTTGCAATCCTTTCTCTTCGATTTTCGTCTTGGGATTTTGGGCACACACGCACATGTGCTAGTGTGATTTTCAAGCCACTGGGTCTAGGACTCAAATCATGCAGTCAGCCATGTGGGATCTGGCTGTCTTAATTGCCACACCACCCTCTACATACAGATTTTTAAAAAGGTCAAGTATGATGGGAAGAAGAGATGAATAATCTGGGGTCCTGGGTACTGGGACAAGAGGGTGAGTTCCCTGAGTTCCCACTGTCTCCCATATTGACAGAACAGGATTCTACAGAACCTCTAATCCTGACTACCTACAGGTACCCCCCCCAAAAAAAAACCTTCAAGAAAAGCCTGTTCCCCCTAACCAAAGGACCATGGCTGTGTAGTAAAGAATCTGCCTTGCTCGAAGAGAGGTGTGGCCTTGGCCCTTGAGTCTTATAAGGAGACTTCTAAGCTCTTACATGTCCTGCCTCATAGGAGTATCTTTGTTCACCCTGGGGGTCTGGGCTATGCCAGCTGGTCTAACAATATGGTTTATGTGGAGGTTCTGGGCCACACAGTACCAGCTCAGCCTCAGAAGAGGTTGCAGGCTGAAGTGAGCTTCATGGGGAGTTAACACATCTGTATGACAGAGCCTTATATAAAGACTCCAGAAGCCAAGACTCAAGGAGCTTCCCTGGTTGGAAATAATGCATGTGTGTTGTCACATATCTTCAGGGGAATAGTAACAAGGTCCACAATTATACTGGGAGAAGACTGGAAGTTCTGTACTTGGAACCCTCTTGCACTCTTGCACTGGCTGATTTTAATCTTTTCATTTGTATCCTTTTTCTTATAATAAACCATAACTGTAAGCACAACAGCTTTCAGTGAGTTCTATGGGCCTTCTATTAAATCATCAAAACTAGGGGTAGGTAGTCTTGGGAATGTCTCCTTTGTTATTGGTGTCAGAAGTGGGAGGCATCTTGAGACCTGTGCTCTAACAACAAAAATATCTTTTTGCAATACTTGCTCTACTTTGGCCAAACACCAACGGAAAAACTAAACTCACTTCCATAATTTCATCAGGGCTTCCCTGGCAGCTGATCTTCAATCCTACCCCTGCCCAAGAAAAGCAAGTAGCATACTCCTGTTCCCCTACCAGATCCCAAGTGGTGTTAGTGGGGCCAAGCAGAAGGCCTATCCCTCATCCTCTGCCCATGGAAGCAATAGGTTCTCTGACTGTCCTGCCAAGACAGTGTCAGTGTTGTCTAGAGGGGAGCTGAGCCTTGATCCCACATGGCATCAACAAGGTAGAAGGAAACAGTATAACGCAGAGGAGTCAACACTATGATCCTCCCTTTCCTCAACACAGCAGGGTCACATGGCGAGCTGAGCTCCTCCCCTAACCCTACATAGCTTTACTGGGTGCAGCAAAGTGGGGCTCATTGGCACTCCACTCCCCCCACCGCCTCCCCTGGGCATGAAAAACATTAGCTACATAAGCATTAATCAAAAATAAAGCAGGAGTTTCTATATTAATAATATCACATGAAGTAAACCTGAGAAGGAAAAAATAGTTTAAAAAAGAGGGACATTATAAAATGACAAAAAAGTTCAATCCTTCAGGAAGACATAACCTTAAATGTGTATGTACCAAACAATAGAGCCTCAGAATATGTACAACCAAAATTTATAGCTCTAACAGACTAATCTGCAAATATAACTGGAGACTTCAACACTTCCCTCTTGATAACTGAAAAGACTACTAGACAGAAACTCAGTAAGAATACGGAAGAACTCAATACTAGCAATTAACAGGATCTTACTGACATATGCCTAGTAACATTTTTCCTAGTAACAGAATACACATCTCCCCCTAAGCAGCTATAAAACTTTCATGGTGATAGACCAAACCACATTTAAAAGAAATGAAGTCATACAAAGTTCTCTGGCTATAATGGACTACGATTAGAAATCAAAATAGACAACAGGAAAATCTCTAAGACAAACACTTGGAAATTCAATGATACACTTCTAAATAATCTACAGATTGAAGACATCTCAAAGGAAACTTTAAAAATTCATAGAACTGGACTGGTCCCATAGCACAGTGGTTAAGAGTTGTGCATGGGGAGCTGGATTCCACATGGCTAACTATAGTTCAAATCTCAACCCTGTAGCTTGAAAAACATTTGGTGCGTGTGTGTGTTTGTGTACGTGCATACTTGTGTGCACACGTGCCCTGACAGGATGGAGCAACCGAGGAAAAAGGATGGCATTATGACCAACCTTATTGGAGGTAAGTGCTTTCTCTCCTTCTCTCTCTCTCTGGAAAGTGAGTGCAGATGCCCACTGGCAATTAAAAAAATAGAACTGAATTAAAATTAGATTAAAAAACTAAGTTCTCCATGTATATATTTTTTAAATAATTATTTTATTTAACTTTATTTATTATTTATTC